CTCCCTCTCCCTCCCTCCAGAGTGGGAGACTGAATATGAAGAGAACCAGCACCTCCTAGAGGCCAAAGCTGCAGAGCTGAGCCAACTTGAAGAAACAGCTCGACGCATCCTGGAAGAGATCAGCCACAAAGTGACTCTATACAGCACCTGTCTGTGATCATGTGACCCCGCCCAGGTCACATGACCAAGACCAAAACGTTTTTAAGGAGCCTGAAAGGAACAATTCAGTTCTTAAAAGGCATTTAATGCTGAGTTCCTCACAGCTGCCGTTGCTCCGTTCTAGTTCTAAAGAATAATTCGACTCCTCTCCACCACAGACACCACGTATCAGATAAACCTCTCACTGCATAAACATAACTCCATTCAGGAAATCAGCTAATTTAGCTCAGAGGGAAATTATATATAACCTTTTTGTCAACTGCAGCCTTTTTTTGGTTCAACCAACTGAGGGATTTCAAACAGGAAAATAACAAAATGACATCTGAACCTTTGGTCAGTTAGAAATGGAACAAAACAACTGCTGTGAGCTGTGGGATAAAATCAGTATAAACCTCTATGGACTTTGGTGTGAAGGATCAGGTTCATGAAGCTGCATCTCCACGTTACAAAAACTCATACAATCTATATTTATTATATATTTTTATCTTTAACCTCAAGTTAATACATTGTGAACAACTAGTGCTGCTATACCAGAGTCTATAGAGAAAGTTTCTGATTTTACACTGTAGCACATGGAGGATTTACACCCAGTTCTGGCTTCATCACTATTCAGTATTTGTTACTTTGGTATCGAAATGTATAAAATGCTTCAGTGAGGTTTACGTAAATGACATAAACTGACCACACGAGGCAGCAGTTGACTGGAAGCGTGTGTTTCCTTGGAGCCAAAAAGTAGCAATTTTTTTGAATGGACTTTGGTCTGAGTGGTGATAGGCAGCGTTTTTCTGTAAGTATGAGATCAATGTTTTCTGACAATATTTTTGTCACAAAGGCCAAAGATTTTTTTACACAAATGAATTCAGAGGGGAATGAAGTTACCACTGAGAATTAAAGTATTAAAAATCTGCATCAAAAACAAACAAACACTGAAAGCCAAAGTGACCTCTGTGCTCGTAAACATTTAGCAACATAAGCTATGACAATCTGTGTTTTAACTAAATCATTGACAGAATATATTTGATAGAAATATTCAATTTTTATATAAATCTTATAAACCAAAGTAATGTAACGCTGACTAAAAACCAAAAATGTACGATTAATAAATTTTATTGGCTCAAAAACAGTTTGTCTGTTTTTCTTTTTGTTTAGTTAAAAATAAACACGCATCAGTTTTAATCTAAATACTTTTGAATAAATTAAAAATTTGAAAACATTTTAGTCTTGATTCCTGGCGCCTTATTGGACAACACATCTGGTTTGGAATATGTTAAACGCCTCGAATCTTCTGATTCCCAGATAAATTAACATACGGAACAAAATTGACATTTGAATCAAAAACACACTGTAACTGGAATAGTAGAATATTTAATTCTCTGTTAAAATAGTTGATCTGAGAAACATTTCTTCTGGTAAAAGTTGTTACAGTAAAAAAAAAAAGTTCACAAGTCGCAATGTCAGTGGTTTACTGGAAACTGAAAATGTGAACGCTGGATGAAGTCTGATGAGAAAAGCTGCTGGTTTTTGGTCATTAAAATAAAAAAATAGAAACAATACACAAACTTTATTCATCATTTTGGTTTCTATTCTTACTGGGTCAAAATGATTCAAATTAATGAGAGAGATTCAAAGCTGATTCCTTGGACTCTTAAGCTGAAATTCCAGGAACTTCCTGGTTGTGTCTGTAACTGACCGACTGTTCGTTCTACTACTGTCAGTGTACAGGTTTTCTGGAGGTGTTTGTTCACGTGGGAGAGAAAGACGAGCGGCAGCAGCAGTTATTGACTTTTTAATCTAATTCTAAAGTCAGCTGCAGCTCTGTCTGCGTTACACACTTAATACCATTGGCAAATGTTGGTGAGTTTTAGCAGCTCGGTCAGAGAGAAATCACTAGAGTTAAGTCAAAAGTGAATTTACCTAGTATGACATGTGATGTCACACATTAGGTGTTAAAAAAAATCTGACTGTATAAACGGAAAGGACGATCATTTCACTCTGCTGGTTTCAGAAAGAATCCTAACTGTTGTCGTCCTTTGCTTATATACAATCTATGATGAAATAACAAAAACCAAAAATCTGTCATTTTCTTTAAAAAAAAAAA